AGAAAGGAAGGGTTTTCCTCAGTTTTTTCGATTTTTTCTTTCGATACTTCCCTAATATAAAAATAAACCTAGAATGCAGTTGTGAATTGCCTTTAAATTTAGTTTTAAAAACCACAAAACCCCAATAATGACTTTCCAAGTGTTATAAGGTCAAAAGTTTGAGAGACCATAACTCAGAAATTACAATTAATAAAAAATTTTTTACAGGCTTCTTTCATAGCCTATAAGCATTAATATATAAAGAATATCATTTTGAGCCAAAAGTACTTTGCCTGGTTTTATCAGAAAATAACTTTTAAAGAAGTTTATTGAAAGTATTAAGGTCCAATTCTTAGTGATCGAGGAGTAGGAAGTGCCCAGGGCCCTGGCCCAGGCTATAAATGAGGTTTTTTGCAAACCCGGCCCTAGCAAAATGAAAAGATTCAGCAGTGGTTGACAGCCGGGGCTAGAAAAAAGTTTATAATATTTTCTGTATTATAATTGTATAGTTGCATTTACTATTTATTAATTGCTGGCATAAGTTTATATATTTTTAAACTCTAATTTACTTCCAACAAGATTGTTACCAACCACTATTAAGTTATGAGTTACTTCAAAATAGAGGATAGGTTAAAATACTAGAAAACGAATACCTGAAGACTTAAAAAGCTGTAGGTTGTATAAAAAAGGAAAATATGAAGATAGGGAAGAGTTATAAGGTTTTTTCATGTGCAAGAAAAAGAACTGAATTGATAAAAGTTTTTATAGCGTGAAGAGACAGATACAGTAAAGGGATGCAACTTGTTGAATAAGAAGCCAAGTAAGAATGAGTTTTGGTTTATTGTAATAGAGATGATAGCTCGTTTGAGCATTGACCAGGATAGTATTTGTAGAAAAAACAAAGAAATGCAACCTTACAACAATCGGAGAATGGCTCAAGCCTGGCAGATAAAGCCTAAGTTCATTTAGTATGTGCTTTTAGACTTTGTCTGATAGTAAGAGGGTTGCTATTCTCAATATAGGAATATAAAATATAGGAATGCCAATAATATTGCAATATTCTTTTGCAATAAATAAATGAGTTTTGTTATCTAAAAACAATTGTAGATTATAAGTCCAGAATTTAAATACACAAGCCACTGCAAACCTTAGGCTGTTACAGAAGAGAGATCAGAACTAAAACCTAAAAAAAACTAAAACTTAAAATAATTTAATAGTCTCAAAACCTGTATATATAAAAAAACTAATAACAGAGTAAAGACTAATTGTGGTATATTTGGAGAGGTCAAAGCATTTTCTAGAGTTTTGAAAAACTGAAACCACTTATTAGGCACTTTTTAAAAGTTTAGCAAAAATTGAAGAGAAATCTGGAGAACGCTTTTTTAAGACTATGATAGAAATCTTGTCTGGAGCACAAAATGTAGAAATGCTTTATTTGAGAATTAACTTTAGCATTGAAAGCCAGAGTGATTTTGATCTTTAACAATGGGTTAATCTGTTTAACTGGCAGTAAGAGTATGGTCATTAGATTCAAGAGTCACATTAGAGTAAGATTTCTTTACAAATAACTCTGCCTTATTCTGGGGAGAAGTAAAAAGATCAGACCCATAATTTAGATATTAAATATTAGACTTACTTTAGTTAATGACACTGTTGTAGACTTACCAAAAGTTTCTAGAACCTAACATATGAGATAAGATACAAGATTTAGTAAACTAAGAATAACAGAGCTTAACATCAGACAGGATCTTTTTACATTGGTTTCTTGGAATAATAAAAGGACATTTGTTCTTAACAGAGACATTCTTGTAAAAAAAAAATGAAAAAAATGGTTACTGTTTAATAACACAACTGCTCTAGCTGGTGAAAAATATGGAGTAGAATAAGGCTTGACTTAAAATTGAAGAGTAGGATTAAAAGCTTCCAACCTTTTAGTCCAGAAGGAAAAAAAGCTTCCTTGCTTTTTTTCCTTCTGGACTAAATTTATTTGCTGAGATGCACTTTATGCATACATATTATGCCACATATTTTTTTTTATTTTTATTTTTATTTTAATTCACCTCCTCAAGGCCGAGAAGGCCACTACAGACGAGGAGGCTACTTATTTTGTGGCTATAACCCTCTCTCAACTCTATAACTCCGAAACACGAACCTTGACGAACAAGGCCGCTGCGCGGAGAAACAAGTTGAGCGCGGTACTACCAGGGACGTGGTGGGGATCGAACCCAGAACCACTCGTTTATGAAGCAAGCGCTCTACCACTACACCACTACCGCATTATTATACCCAATATTTAGATGCTGACATATAATATCCTTTCATATTTATATAAACTAATTTATATGGTGTAAGAATTTAATTTTATTTAATTTTTTTGTATTTGCTAATAGAGATGATCAGATGGATGAGTGGTGTGACTCAAGGCAAGACAAGAAAAGAAAGCATAATTGTAGACATATTTAAAAAAAACGATGTATCGAACAATGCTTGTTAGAGAAGATTAAAGTGATTTAGGTATCAGCATGTAGAGAGGTAGCAGCTTCAGGATAAAATGGCAGGCTTGGACAGGAATGGCGTGCGATCGAGCCCTATTGCTAACCACGCAAATGATTTTATTTCTTGACAACTTGACCACAATTGTTTATATGTTTTGATAGGAAAAAAGTTAAAAAAAAAAACTAACAAAAAAAAAATCCTAACCAAAAAAGAAAAGAAAAAAAATTCTTAATGAAAAAGAAATTATATAAACACTAAAATAAAAATAAAAACTTAAACTTGAAGCGAAACTTTTTGTTACGTTTTTAATCTTGTTTAAAATAAATCTTTTTAAACGTTTTATTAAAGTTAAGCAAAACGCTTTTAAATTAAGTAACAAATTACTACTAATGATTGTTTAATAAATAAATAAATTTTATCAAATTTATTAAAAAGTGTTGTTTTTAATATTTTTAAATTGTACTAACATTTATTTTTTTTATAATAACGTAGTCTTTTTAAAATAGTAATTTTTAAATAAAATCTTTGTTTAAAAGATTTTAAAAAATTGTATGTTTAATTATAAAAATTAATTGTATTAACATTACAAAAAGCTTCAAAACTTTTCCATTAATCAAGCAAATACATTCTTAAATAAGTATATAAAGTTATTTTATATTCTTGTATAATTCACATAAAATATGTAAAAGCTTTTTATCTTTTAAACAAATCTTTTAAACAAAGATTTTATTTAAAAATTACTATTTTAAAAAGACTACGTTATTATAAAAAAAATAAATGTTAGTACAATTTAAAAATATTAAGAGTTATTAAGATTTTTTATTTCAACTATTACACAAAAACTTATTATTATAACTATTACGCAAAAACTTATTTGTTCATTTCTCAAAATGTGATGTTTTGGACTTTAATTCTATGAATTAAAGTCCTATGAATTAAAGTCCAAAACATCACATTTTGAGAAATGAACAAATAAGTTTTTGCGTAATAGTTATAATAATAAGTTTTTGTGTAATAGTTGAAATAAAAAATCTTAATAACTCTTAATATTTTTAAATTGTACTAACATTTATTTTTTTTATAATAACGTAGTCTTTTTAAAATAGTAATTTTTAAATAAAATCTTTGTTTAAAAGATTTTAAAAAATTGTATGTTTAATTATAAAAATTAATTGTATTAACATTACAAAAAGCTTCAAAACTTTTCCATTAATCAAGCAAATACATTCTTAAATAAGTATATAAAGTTATTTTATATTCTTGTATAATTCACATAAAATATGTAAAAGCTAGTAGTCGCAAAAGGTTTTGAACTTATTAATAAATTAAAGTAACTTAAAAAAAAAATCTTTCTAAAATAAATGCTTTAAAAGACGACATGGGAAAATAGTTTCAAACGTTTAAATTTATCATGAAAAATACATCCCTACATAAAAAAAATTTATATATAACATTTTTTATTAATTTACACATGAGTTTATGTAAACAATCATTAAATAATTATGTGGTTTTATTTTAAAGCCTTTGCGTAAAATAAAAACTATAGAAAAGAACAATTTAAATAACGATTAAAAGTTATTTAAATTGTTAAAATATCAAAATAGCCGTGGTCAAGTTATAAAGAAAAAAAACTATTACAATTGTTTATATTAGAGAAACAGCATAATAGAGGAAGGCCAAATCCTGAAATCCTGATGATGATAATGATGATAATGATGATGATGATGATGATGATGATGATGATGATGATGATGATGATGATGATGATGATGATGATGATAATGACAATCATGATTATAATGGTAATAATAATTATGATGATCATGTTGATTATAATGATGTTTATATACAAAATATATACAAAATATAACAAGAATTTTGAATTAAAACAATATACTTTAGGTTGATAACTGTTTATGCAGCCCCGGTCACAAACCCGGCCCCGCCTCCGGTCAAATATCTACCACGGTCACTTACTATTGAGGAGCAGGGAGTAGATATTTTTTGATTTCAAATTTTTTTTTAATGCTTTTGTCATGTTGATTCAAATGATTTTGCTGATTGCAACTTTTAAAAGTATTTTTTTATTGAATCACCCTCAAACCCAGGATACAAAACTTATCTTCAGTAACAATATAAAAGAAATAAACATTGAGTAATATAAAATAAAAATTATTGAGTGATAATATAAAATAATTATACATAATAAAAATTATTGAGTGTTGCTTAGTGTTATTTAACCTTATTGTTTATTATTAACTGTTAAATTCAAAAAAACAAAAAAATAAAAAAGCGTTTTTTAAACATAAAAAAGTTTTTTAATTAACTTCCTTGTTTTATATTTTTAACATATAAAAACTTTAATAAACACCTAAAGTAAAAATTATAGTTAATGCTTGATATTATTTATATTTATACACTTTGATACATTTATAAATTTGATATAATTCTATAATATTTACTATTAGTAAAATAATTATAAAAAGTAAACATATTAAAAAAAGTTCTAATAAGTAATAAAATACCTTCTGAAGAGACAAATTGACCAATAACTGAAGAACTTCCTGCACTATTTTCATGGAATTCTATATCATTTACAATACACAAGCTTTCTACTACAGATCCACAGCTAACACATACTGAATCTCCTCGTGCTGGATCATTGTCAATTTCAATACCCCCACAGTTTTTACATGAAATACCCATAGCGTTTAAACAATTTTTACAACTTTCCTTTTATAATAAGAGAAGAACAAACTAAAATTGAGAAAACATTTAAAATTTAATAAGAATTTAAAATTAATAAGCAAGACTGTTAGGATTGTTTGTAATTATGATAGGCAATAATTATAATAATAAATAATTGTAAACATAAAAACACAAAAAAACCAATAGTTTATATATTTCAATATATAAACTGTTGGTATTTTTACATTTCAACCAGATATTAGAAGACACTTTAAGCTAATTTTTGTTTAATATGATAAAGGCAGGTTTATAAATACTTTTAATTTTCCATTTAATCATTTATCTTTTGTCATCTTTTTACTTAATTATTATTTATTTTTCATTTCATTCAAATAAATTTAATATAACCTATATTAAATTTTTAAATTTACTAAATAAGTTAAATTTTTATTAAACAGCATTCAGTTTTAAAAAGCTTATTGATTGACACAGTTTTTAGTCAAACTGTAAATTCTTTTTTTATTTTTCGGAAAGATATAATTTAAGATTTGAATTTTCTAGATAATAGCAATATTGGATATATTTAGTTTAATTTGTTTTAAAATTTGTTGTAAAAAAATTATAACATATTGTCTGTATACAAGGGAAATGCCATCATCATTCTCATCTCATGGTCGAGCTACAATCAGACTTATATTTTTTCAGTTACCATTTGCAATATCGGAATCATTTTATTCTATGAATTAAAGTCCAAAACATCACATTTTGAGAAATGAACAAATAAGTTTTTGCGTAATAGTTATAATAATAAGTTTTTGTGTAATAGTTGAAATAAAAAATCTTAATAACTCATAAATAATTGAGTTATTAAATCTGTCTGGTATATCAAACGATATATAATTTAAAATACTAAATAGTGGCATAAATAACTCCATACTGCCAAAAATAGAAATAGTGCATTTTTTATGTATACCGACAATATGTAAATATGGTATTATAAGCATCGTTATTTGCATTTGAGTCTCAAATGCAAATAACATGCAAATAATCTCAAATTGAGATTCAAAAATAATTCTAAGATATTGAAACGCTTAAAAAGACATTTCTACCAACATTATACTTGTTGTTAGAATTGTCTATTTTATAGATAAAGATGTATTTTACAAGTAGTTAATAAAAGTAATATAAATGAAATTAACATTTATTATTGCACTAGTGGTTATGTGAAAGTTAAACAAATAGTTTAATTGAGAAGTAGAGATAGGGGTAGCGAAGGATTTAGAAAAGCAAGCTAAGAAAGTTTCAGAACTAATGATAAGTTTGAATTGAACACGGAGCCGAGGTACTCAACTCAAATTTTGAACCATTTTATTGGGTAAATGACATGAAATTTTTAAAATAAAAATGACCAAGTACTAGATTGCTATATATCATTGGAAAGAGACTTTTATTCAATCATCAATTAATTATTGAATGTAAATAAATTTTAAAGCAGTGTTATCAAGTAAAATTCTTACTTGAAAATGCTGCTTTAAAATTTATTGACATTGATTAGTATCAAATAATACTTTAAAATTAAAAAAAATCAAAACTATGTCACAAAAATTTATACAACAATCATTTACAGTTACAAATGTTTTTGGAGCACAATTCAGTTTGTCATGTGTTTATGAACATTAAGAAACAGTCGGCGGTTAAAACAATTCTTCGTCATTAATCGATGGTAAAGGTAAACAATAAAATTCGTTTGTAAAATGCTTCTTACCGGACTACACCAGACATCATCGTCGGACATTCGAACTTTAAACGAATTAATTAATGAAGCATATGAGAAATTTTCGTTCATGTGAGAAATTTTCAAACAAGATTATTATTAACCGAGAGTTTTAAATTACGATTGCAATGACGAAAATTATTATTAAAATTGTATATTTCTATTAAATGTTTAAGTAAGAAAGTTTTGAGTTCCAAAAATTTAAAGAAAACTATGTTTTCTTAAGAAGATGATAATTTTAAAGTATATATATTTTTATAACTTTATTTATAACTTATTCTGTTATATTTAAGTAATTACGTACAAAAAGATACGAAGTTAAAACTGAATCTGTTATTAAAATTCTGAGAGATGCTTTTAAGTCTTTTTTAACTAAATTGCACTTAAAAACACTTTTTTTTAGATATTGAATTGAAAAATTTTCATTCGGTCCTCTATCACATCCGCTCTTCTGACTAGATTGGACAGTGCAGGTCGCAGAGAGAGAGAGAGTATTCATGATGCCCGGTGGTAAACTATTAAAAATGCTGTGAACTAATAAAACGGTGAACTAATAAAAATGGTGAACTAATAAAAATAAAATACATTTAATACTTTAATTTTTAGAGCACCGCGAAATAGCATTTAACAAGGAAGTTCACGTCTTCTTCGCATACTAATGCTGCATAAATGTCAATTTTCCATGTTTGGGTGTTTTTTTATTAATTTGGCTAAAGCTTTTGATACTATTGGTCATAAAATTCTTTTTAAAAAGTTAGAGTGGTACGGAATTACTGGGAATATTTTAATTTGGCCAAAAAGTTACCAAAACAGTCATATGCAATTTGTGAGGAAAACGAGTCTTAATGTAATTGATCAGAGAAAACGAGTCTTAATGTAATTGATCAGAGAAAACGAGTCTTAATGTAATTGATCAGAGAAAACGAGTCTTAATGTAATTGATCAGAGAAAACGAGTCTTAATGTAATTGATCAGAGAAAACGAGTCTTAATGTAATTGATCAGAGAAAACGAGTCTTAATTTAATTGATCAGAGAAAACGAGTCTTAATGTAATTGATCAGAGAAAACGAGTCTTAATGTAATTGATCAGAGAAAACGAGTCTTAATTTAATTGATCAGAGAAAACGAGTCTTAATGTAATTGATCAGAGAAAACGAGTCTTAATGTAATTGATCAGAGAAAACGAGTCTTAATGTAATTGATCAGAGAAAACGAGTCTTAATGTAATTGATCAGAGAAAACGAGTCTTAATGTAATTGATCAGAGTAAGAGATTAAGAAATTATGAGTTTAATTAGAAGTTATAAAGTTTAGTGCTAGCAGGGTAACTGGAGAGTCGGCATTCAGTGTGATAAGAATTAAGTCATTAATAACAACAATATTGGCTAAAGATTAAGGGACAAAAAAAAAACAGGGATAAAAAAAGAACTTGCTCAATTTTATCAGAAATTACATCAAAAAAAGAGTGCAGCCTTGCGAACGATAAAAGACAGAGAGAAAGGTGATCGAGTGAAGCAGTTCTAAAAAGAAATACATAAAAGAATGGTTATATGTTTCAAATCTGATTTCTTAACTAGTAAAAGAATTGATGCGTAAGTATACATCCAATCCAAGAATTTGACTGTTTAATTCTTTTTTAATCAAAAGATAATAACATTCAATTCTAATACTTGAAGCAGAAACAGCTGAACTTAAATTATTCTCACAAAGTACAAGTAAGTCTAGTGAACTTTTTAATAGATAAAATTCAACAAATGGAAAACTATTTCCACGAATACCACGAATATTTTTGAAAAATATATTGAAACAATTAGGTCGTTGTGATTGTTTTATATTTTTAATATTTCTGGTTACTTTAGGCATGGTTTAATTTAAAGAGCACTTTACTCATTTGAAGAAAGAGCATGGAATCCCAAGCAAAAAGTTATGCAGTTGTCTATGTAGCAGTCATAAATTAGAGCTCCTTATTTGGCCTCAACAATGCATACTAAAAGTACTAAGAAAGATATCATCCATGCGCACCATGATAATGCTAATACTCTAATATTTTACAGCTGTTTGTGAAATCAGTATTTCTGAAAGAAACAAGTAAAGCACAAGTAAAAGTTTATGTGTAGAGTCGAAAAGATCCAGAATTCATCATTCAAGGCAAAAGACAATGTAACTCAGATTTACATCTATACCAGCGTAATAGATGAAGATGAACAATTAGTACACATAAAACAATATTCATTAATAATAATGAACAATAAACAAATAATATTTAATAAAATTCAAATAAGAAGAATCTACAACCCCGGACTACGCAGTTTTGAGGACTCCGAAAATAAAATCTTTGATTGATGAGTTTCTTTAAAATAGCCCCGGCCCCGAAAAGTTTTAACCCACTACTTTTTAGATGTAAGACATTTTCATTAGTCCTGTAAATGGATAATAACAGTCACACAGTACCCTAGTAGCAAACAATATTGGCGCAATATTGGGGCGATATTGTTTACAATATTGGCGCAATATTATAAACTATATCGGGCCAATGTTGCAATGTGAACATTTTGCCAATAATGGCGCAACAATATTGCGCCAATATTGGCCAATATTGGCGATACAATATTGCGCCAATACTGTAAAGTCAATATTGGCCAATATTGGCAAAATGTTCACATTGCAACATTGGCCCGTTATAGTTTATAATAGTGCGCCAATATTGTAAATAATATCGCGCCAATAATGGGGATATTATACTGGCCAGTATTGGTCTAATACAGTTTACAATATTATCCTGATATATATAATATATATAACTAAATAAAGGCAATATATTGAATATTTTCAATTAAATTTTTATTATTAAAAAAATAATAAAACACATTGCCTTCTACGAATTTGTAATAATTAATATTTATAACAGTTTTCTTGTTTAAGTGTTACTATAGTACTAGGCTGCATTATTCTTTTTAGTTAAACAGGTTATAGTCTAGGAGATGAAAATAATCATAGAACACGCTTTAAGAAAAAAAAATTCGAAGCCATTAAATTTATTTGAAGTTATATGAAACAGATACAAATGAAAAAAAGAGGTATAGAGTTTTCCAAAACCAAAATATAACAAAATAAAATCAATGCTATTTAAATACAGGTACAAAAAATATGTATGTATATATATATATATATATATATATATATATATATATATATATATATATATATATATATATATATATATATATATATATATATATATATATATATATATATATATATATATAATAATAATATCTATAAACTACTGTATTATACTCTCACTATGAGATAGTGGGCATCGACTTTCATTAATTTGGCGATACTTATTTCATTGCTCAATATTGGTTAATAGCGTTGCTCAGTTACGATTCTATTTTTCTTCCGTAATCTCTATTAATGGCCGTCGCCAGAAAGCTGCCAAATTTTTCCATAATACTTTTGTCAGTAGCGATTTCGATATGAACGAATACAACGATAAACGACTAAACGAAATCTACAAAATGTTTTTTAAATATCATCACAATATAATTTTGAAATATATAACTTTTCACGTATAAATATTGTAAAAGAATTAGCTTTTATTAGAATATTTATTTATTAAAAGGAAATGGGATGTAGAATACAAATATTGTGCTTTACCTATAACGACCTTGCAGAACGTTTTTGCTTCATTCCATTCACTGAGTATGAAAAACATACTTCTTTGGCAATTAGCTGTATTAAGATTGCCGCTGTAAGTTGTTTCTCATCTCCTCCAACCGAAGTAAGAAAGTTCATCTAAAATAAGAAAACAAATGTAATATAATTGGTTATACTAAAAGTATAATGGTTCCACATGTGTATGTATCAGAGTCTAATACATACAATAATCTATTTATAACCAATTGCTTTTACTTTTCCATAATGTCATATTTTAACAAGAATCCCATTATGGAAAAAAGTCTAATACTATTAGACGGTTTTATATGGAAAAATAAAGCAATTGGTTATAAATAGATTATGACATCTGTAGCGGTGAATAAACCCTACAGATGTCAAAGATATCTGAGATTAGTAGTCATTGCTACACAAAATACATTGCTAACTAAACAAAAGTTAGTCGTTGTTCTCAATTATAATTATATCTTAAACAATGTTAGTTTCTAAATGAAATAACAATATGTTTAAACAACAACAATATAAAACAATATAAAAACAATATAAAAACAAGAAATGAATAATGTCACTATTTCTACATCCCCTTCCATGTTTTTAAGTGTCAATGAATATAAACATAATTTCTGGGTTTATTTATTAAAGTCATCTAATGTCAAAGATTTTCCGGTTTCTGGTTGGTAGAATTTTTTGAGGATACGTAGCCTGGATGAACGTTTCAATGGTTGATCTCCTACGATTTCAGTATTTAATAAGGGTGGCATCGCTAGATGCGGCGAGCTTGTTGATAAAGATGCTGGCATTAACGGTAAGGGTACTGGAGTTGTTGGTAGAGGTAGTGGTGGTACTGCTGGTGCTAATGTAGAAGGCGGTAGCAATACTGTAGATGGTGCTAGTTCCGGTTGGGATGGTATGACTTTGTTGCTACTTTCTGGGACATACTCTGTAAATGGTGTTGGCAAATCGGCAGAGTTATAGTGACTAGAGCTTGTTTTTGGTGGTGTCGTCAATGCAACTTTGGTTTCGTATGACTTTAGTGGGTTGAGGAATTTGCGCAAATATTTTCTATTTCTCAATGTTAGTCGACCTGTTCCTTCAACCTTAATGATGTATTGGTCATTTTCCTTACATTCAACAACTTTTCCACTACGATCCCATTTTTTAGGGTGGTTCCCTACTTGATTTTGTATAAAGACACTGTCTCCTTCATGTAGTGGTGTGAGAAAACGTGTGTGTTCTTGAAGTGATTCAAGGGTCTTTGCATATCTCATTCGTAATGCTTCTTCTTTTGCAGACCATGCATGTCTCCACGTTTTCAAGAATTGGTCGTTATTAAACATAGGCATTCTGGATTTTATCCGGGGCATGGCATCGCGAATGGGATGGCCAAATAATACTTGAGCGGGGGATAACTGACAAGTAGGGTCTGGTGTGTTTCTTATTGTAAGCATTGCCCTTACAAAAGCGTTATTATTGAGATCACCATTTAGTCCCACATTATTTTTGAGATGGCGTTTTGTTGACTTAACTGCAAGCTCAGCTCTTCCATTAGATTGTGGGTGGTGGGCTGATAAAATGCGATGAGTTATGCCCCATTGTTGTAGAAACTCTTTTGTTTCTCCAGAGGTGAATTGAGGACCACCGTTGGTTGAAATTTCTTCTGGGACTCCAAATGTTGTAAATAGTTTACATAAACACATGATAAGACCTTTTGCACTCATTTCTGATGTTCCTGATTTTATTCTGTAGGCTTCGGTCCATCCAGAAAGTCTCCAATGACCAGATAATCCCAGCCACGGAATTCAAAATAGTCAGCAAATATGCATTCAAATGGTGTCACAGGGATGTGAGGTCGGATGGGTGGTAGTCGTGCATTAGAAGGTGCATTTGGATTACAGCTGCAACAGTTATCGCGCTTACTTTGTATGCTGTGAGTGATACCTGGCCAGAAAATAGTGGCTTGAGCTCTGGTTGTCATTCCCGATACTCCTTGGTGGGCTGAGTGTAGTACGTCCAATATCTCTTTCCGTAGAGTAGGTGGGATTACAATTCTGTCGTTGTATATTATAACCCCGTCGGACACCATCAAGTCATTGCGGTATTCCCAGAACGGTAAAAGATTTGGTATGAAGTTGTTCTTATTTTTTGGGAAACCGTTTTCTATTGCTAACATTAATGCTTTAAAATCGGTATCCTTTTCTGTCTCTGCTTTGACACTATCCCATGTTACTGCAATCATTTTATCTATGTCGTTTCGTATCGAGGCTATTATTAGTGATTCTGTCTTGTCAAAATCGGTATTTTGATTGCAAGTGGCTGAATTATCAGATTCCTTTGTGTTCTCTGCAGGGTAACAAGAAGTAGCATCTGCTGCCAGGTTTGTTTTTCCTGGTTGATGTTGGATGGTAAATTTCCATTGCAAAGTGCTCTGTTTTAGTCGGAAAAGTTGTGTGTTAGCAATTTCATCTAAGGTCCTATCTCCTAATAATTTTACAAGTGGTTTATGATCAGTTACTACCATAAGGTTATCACAACCTTGTGTGAAATATTTAGTCTGCTCCAGGCTCCATGCCTTCTAGCATTTCGCCCTCAACTGGTGCATATCGTTGTTCAGCAGATGACAGGAATCTGGACCCTGCTAGGGTCATTTTCCATCCATCTATACAGCAATCTGGGGAGTCCGATTTACATTCACAATGTTTTTGGCTTAGGTAATATCCTATCCCCAATTTTGACCAGTCGCATCTTAAACAGGTCTTCTTGGTAATGTCAAATATTTGGACTCCATCTTTAATTGCGTTGATGATTTTTTCCTTTGACACGTTGAATAAAGTGTTGAGTTCGTCCGACCAATAAAATTTTGATTTAGGGCTAAGCAGAACTCTGAATGGGGCCATAGTTTCTTGAAGTTGAGCGTAATGTGATACTTGGGTCACTAAGCCGAACCAAGATTGGATGTCTGTTATTGAGGATGGTGTTGGAAATGATCTAATGGCGCCGATATATTTAGGTAGTGGTTCAACTCCATTTTCAGATATTCTGAAACCTGCAAAATCCACTATTCTTTTAGCAAATTAGAATTTTTGTGGGTTCAAAATGATCCCAGCTTTATTAACAAGCTCAAGAAATTCGATTGTCCGCCACCAATGTTTGACTAGGTCATCATCGTAGTGGATGGTGTCATCTACACATCTTTGTTTGCCAATAAAGTCTGCTAAAATTTCGTCGAAACGTCTGTTGTAGCCATCCCCACTAGATACAAAACCTTGAGGAGCTCGGATGTATCTGTAGCGCTCAAAAGGAGTAATGAAGGTGGTAAGATTCCTGTGTTCAACCCGTATCGGGATGCTATGATAACCATTCCATGCGTCGGTAACAGTTTTCCATGAATTTCTTGGGACTGAACGAGCTAGTTGGAAAGGCTAAAGGCTTTCATGTAACTTCAAATAAATTTATTGCCAAAGAAGTATGTTTTTCATACTCAGTGAATGGAATGAAGCAAAAACGTTCTGCAAGGTCGTTATAAGTAAAGCACAATATTTGTATTCTACATTCCATTTCCTTTTAATAAATAAATATTCTAATAAAAGCTAATTACTTTACAATATTTATACGTGAAAAGTTATATATTTCAAAATTATATTGTGATGATATTTAGAAAACATTTTGTTGATTTCGTTTAGTCGTTTATCGTTGTATTCGTTCATTTCAAAATCGCTACTGACAAAAGTATTATGGAAAAATTTGACAGCTTTCTGGCGACGGCCATTAATAGAGAAAAATAGAACCGTAATTGAGCAACGCCCAATATTGAGCAATGAAATAAGTATCGCCAATATAATGAAAGTCGATGACGACTATCTCATAGTGAGAGTATAATACAGTAGTTTATATATATATATATATATATATATATATATATATATATATATATATATATATATATATATATATATATATATATATATATATATATATATATATATATATTGTACGTGTATTTAAATAACATTGATTTTATTTTGTTATATTTTGGTTTTGGAAAACTCTATACCTCTTTTTTTCATTTGTATCTGTTTCATGTAACTTCAAATAAATTTAATGATTTCGAATTTTTTTTCTTAAAGCGTGTTCTATGATTATTGTCATCTCCTAGACTATAACCTGTTTAACTCAAAAGAATAATGCAGCCTAGTACTATAGTATCACTTAAACAAGAAAACTGTTAGTAACTTTAATTATTACAAATTTGTAGAAGGCAATATTTTTTATTATTTTTTAATAATAAAAAATTTATTGAAAATACTCAATGTATTGCCTTAATTTAGTTATATATATTATATATATCAGGATAATATTGTAAACTATATTAGGCCAATATTGGCCAGTATAATATCCCCATTATTGGCGCGATATTATTTACAATATTGGTGCATTATTATAAACTATATCAGGCCAATGTTGCAGTGTGAACATTTTGCCAATATTGGCCAATATTAACTTTACAGTATTGGTGCAATATTGTATCGCCAATATTGGCCAATATTGGCAAAATGTTCACATTGCAACATTGGCCCGTTATAGTTTACTATAATGCACCAATATTGCGCCAATATTGTTTGCTCCTAGGGTAATGACGTATTATTTTCTTATATTCTTTTCTTATATTTATAGATATATAAATATAATATCAATATTATTGACGTATTATTAATAAATCTCAATATTAATGACGTATTATTTTCTTATATTCTTTTCTTATATTTGTAGATATATAAATTTAATATCAATATTATTGACGTATTATTAATAAATCTCAATACTAATGACGTATTATTTTCTTATATTCTTTTCTTATATTTATAGATGTATAAATATAAAATACTTTTATACTTTTTAAATATAAGATACTTTTATACATTTTTATACTTTTGCTATTGCAATGGCAAGAGTATAAATAAACAAGTAGAATTTTTTGTAACTTTTGTAACTTTTTGGAAAAGAGTTTTACTTGAAGTTTGTACATTTTCTGAAAGTGTCATATCTAAAACATGAAAAAATTCTGCTAAATCCACTGCACATTGGGACTGTTACGCATAAAAAAGTTGTTAAAAAAGTTGAAAAAATCACAATAAGTTCTTTGTCTTTTTATGTCAATATTATAATAGTTATTTTTGTTTTTCAAATAAAAAGTTTTTAACTTCTGTATTTATATTTAAATTTTTATTATTTTTGATCAATATCGATGTCATCATCTGAAGTGGCATCATTTTTGTTGTTTTTATTTACGTCTATAATTTCTAGTGTAAAAAGTAGGTAACTTCTTTCGGAAGAACATATGTTTTTATTTCAGACCTTGTACTTAACGAACAAGTAATTGTATCTAATAAGCCTAGGAATAAAAATACCCCAAAAGATTCCCCCCTAACCCAAATGTGAGGGTAATAAGTTACTAAAATATTTTAATTTACAGTCTAATTCTAAATTTAAATTCATCGTCATGTTCCAAATTTCATTTAATTATCTTTAGTGTTCAAAAGGTTTTTGAACATATAAAGTTTTCACCACCAGCAAAATAAAGGTATTATAAATTTTACATAGTCATAACGTTCGAACGCTCAAAAATAACTAAATAAAATTCAAAACCTGTGAATAAATTGGAATTTAGTAGAAGATATTAAGTTAAAATACTTTATTAAAATAACTATTTTTTGTTCTTTTTTTTTTCCCCGCTGTTTAAAACTTTAAAATCAAGAATTATATCCGAAAAAAAAATTAAAATATTTTTTGTGAGTAAAAAATAAAATATAAATTTGTCACAGACGGTCAGTACGCTGTAGTAGATAACGGTGTACTAAAGCAGCATTACTTTTATTGACTCAATGAATGTATATACTATATACATTCATTGAGTCAATAAAAGTAATGCTGCTTTAGTACACCGTTATTTACTACAGCGTACTGACCGTCTGTATACTATATACTATATAGTAGTGATCGACTGATAAAGAAAAAGAGCCGAAACCGAAATTTTGGGTACTTTAGTTCGGTGCCGAAACCGACATTTCGGCAAATATTTTAACGAAACCGATACCGACATTTCGGCTAGTCAAAATTAATTTCATCAAAAAAATTTATTTAAAAAATGTAATTTTACATTTGTTATTTTTTTATACTCGTATTATGTTAGAATTGACTACACACATATCACAAATTGAGATTTAATACGTAAGTTGGCAACATAAGTTAATAGTGAAAGTTAAGTCACAGATTTTTTTTGAAAAACAAGATTTTTATGAGATATTTTGTGAAAACTCTCAAAACTGTTGTGAAAATTCTAAAATTATTTTGTGAAATTTCTCGAAAATAAGTGTTTTTCTAAAGCAGATAAAAATCTAAAATCTTCCAAACTTTTCAGTTTTCGGTACGTTTTTCAACCGAAATTTTCCTTTTTATCAAATTTATAAAAAGTACCGAAACCGAAATTTCGGTATCGGTTCAAATTGAAATTTCGACCGAAACCGATAGCAAAACAGAATTTCGGTCGATCACTAATATATAGTAAATGTAGTACACACAAAAACTTACAACATTTGTTTAAAATTAAAATTTATTTTTAAACAAGAACTTGAGTTGTTTGTTATCAATAATAAACGTACCAACAGTTTTATCTATAAAGTCTTTTTTGTTGCAGTTGATTATATCTCTGTGTATGCTTAACATGCAAAAACAAGACAGGCAATCATTTAACGTCGTTGACTTTCTTTTATACACTACGTATTCTGCTGAAAAATTGCTTCACTGTACATGTTGTTGCTGGTAAAGTTACACTAGTAAGGTATACCATATACTTGGATAAAATTGTGTAAAAAGTAATAAGTTGATGGAATCTAAGCTTGTTGTATCCTCAAGCGTTCCAAAAATCAAACCAACTTAGGTTCTCAGTTTTAAAACTATCTATACTGTATACGTTATTCGTCGTAGAAATATTGGCTTCAAAATGTTAGGTTTATACAATCTCAACGGATGCAGAAACACTTAAATAATAAGTTAAATTGTTCACTGTTAGCTTCACAAAGTTGACTCTCCAACGAGTTAATTAGAGAATCTAAGTATATCGTTTACATGTAAATCGTTTTTCTCAAAAACAACCTTAACACTTATGTTTTCTGAATTACTTTGATGCTTTTTTTTTTAAAATAATCAGTTCAATATTATCTACAACGCAGAAAAACGGAAATATCTTTATTTAAAAAATTACCGATGTACCGAAAGCATTATGCAAATTGGTAATGCTTATGTCCAAAAGGAGTTGTTTGTGTTAAAATCATTACAAAAAGTTTTTTAACGAATAGTGTAACAAAGAGCAATAGTATACTTATTAACCGAATTATATTAATTTAACGAACATGGCCAGTGCTTTTTGTCTACGTTTTCTTTAAAATAATTCTTTAAAATTTGCGGTAAGACTTTTTAAAAGCTCTTTTTCCTTTTTTGTACATTTTTCATTTTGTATTTATTTCAATATGAATCGAATGAAGAAAGATCAAGTCAGATACCCTTGTGTAATGTACTCTAAAGAGTGTGGAGATGGAGCAATTTGTTGGGGGGCATGTGAAAAGTGGGTTCACGCAACCTGCCTTGAGATGAATGATGAACTTTAAAATCTATGGATTGCTTGTATACTGTATGTATAATCGGAATCAAGTTTTGTGTAAATTGCTTTTTTTATTTTTAATGCTGACTTAATTTAGATTGAAATCTAAGCCAATTTCAAGTCAATATTCGATCAAGCTTTTATTGCAGAATACATATATTGTTACCCAACAACTTCGGCAATCAGATCTCATTCCAGGATTTAATATCCTGGAATGATGATGATGGTTCTCACATCCAAATAAAAATGGTGTTACCTAATAAAAATAGTAAGAATCCTTTATTGTGGAGAGGTAACTTACATTTATATCAAAAACAGTTTAAAAAGTGAAAACCAATGTAGACTATTATTGAATGCTCCATGATATAAACTGCATAAATGAATGTACAATGTTTATTTTTAGCTTGGCATGATTCATCATCCAAAAAATATGCGCAAATAATCACGGACACCAGAATGGAAACACCAACGTGTTCAGTGTTATTGCGTTCTGTTGTGTCTATTTGTGGATATAGTAAACTAATGCATATTTATGCATTAAGTGCTGCTTTTGCAACGCCAATTCATTCTGTTTTTCTTGCTGATTATGCCACATTAAGTGGAATAGTTTATGTGAACCGCATTATGTGTTTTACAAGTGGGCCACACTTATCTTCATCAAATACGTCATTCATCAACTGTAATATATTTTTGCACTTTTAATTTTAATTAAAAGCACTATGACCATATGTGGGCCACATATACCTTTCTTGTCGGGAAAGCTGTTAAACGTAACAAAAAGTTTACGCACATTGATTTAGAGCCAAATTGAGAATATGTCTGCCTTGTTTAAAACGTTAAAAAACATCCTGGATCATGTCCATTAACAATGCACAATCTACTTATGTAAGAACATTAAGATCAGCCATGGATTCTATTGCCTCACAAATAAAAACCAGACAACCTAGAGAGATCTACCAGGATCTACTGCTAAACCATGAAGAAAAAGATGCTCCAAGAGATTCCAAACAGATACGCAACAAGAAATATTACGATAAGATTTAAAAAAATTTTGGAGCTGACCAGGAAAAGACTATGATGTTAGTAATAAAATTTGCTTTTCCAAAATCTAATCAGGTCTTGTGTTTATCTGACAGACAACGTTAGTCTGAAAAAAAAAATGCGTCAAGTGGTTATGAACAGTTTGTTTGGAAGTCAAGGTACAGTGTTGTCAGATGATTTGATAGTATTTGTAGAACGAATCAAATTTGTCCAAAACATCTGAAAAAACACAAAAGGAGACAAATTTTTAAAGTATTTGGATCAACGTCTTGTCCCAATACTTAAGAAAAATGTGATGAGACCTCGTCTAGACAGAAATATCTAAGATAACTGGACAACAATATTGTAGAATCAGCCAACCATTATCTGAAATGCGCAGTTAATTGAAAACCACAACTACTAATGGAACTAACCGCAAAAATTTGGAATCTAGTACGTGTTCAACAAAAAGTAAGTACCATGTTAATGCTACTTACAACCTCATAGTTCATAAACTCAAAGTTCCTATGTCCAAGGGCAGTAAGAAACCAGGTCAAAGGAAAAGGCCATCAGCTGAACAATCAATGCAATGCCAAAACAGCAAAGAAAAACATACTTATAACTTTATAACTTTACGACTTGTAAATAGTAAGAAATTAAAGGATGAGTGGCGCACCCAAGAGTCAATTATTTCAACAGATTAAGTTTATTGCAGTTAATTCGTACGTCATTTTTAGTTATTTCAGGTTATTTTGGATTATTTTGGGTTATTTCAGGTTATTTCGGGTTATTTTGGGTTATTTTAGGTTATTTTAGGTTATTTCGTTATTGAGACGCAAAGTGCGCAAGACTGCTGGTCTACTTATTAAAAGCGTCAAATGTCAACTTATTAATCGTTTAATTCTAAGAATCGTTTCAATGAGTCAGGGCAGGATTTATCAATAGGCTGACTAGGCCGCGTTCTAGGACCCCGCGTTTATAGGGACCCCAATATGTCAAAAAATTTCAGAATTTTTTACTATTTTACTACTTTTATATATAAAAAGGGCCCCAAAACATAGCCCGTTTTAGGGCTCCCATTAGTGTAAATCCAGGCCTGCTCCTATTACTTGGTTTTTAAATAAGGTGCAACAACATAGAACACTTCTAAGTAATAATTTTCATTGTTTTTATTGTTTATTTATAGCTTTATTTTACGTCTGACAACAGTCTGAACTAATCGGTCCGAAATATTACAAAAATAAATAAATAGTTGTTCTATATGTTTTAACACCTTGTTTAACAATTATAACGACTTTACGAAATCAAAACGCCAACTGCAACCGCAACTTCAAAAGTACAAAATTTGATAATGCGCATGCGTGTGTTAAAAACGTGAATTAGTTATGTAAACGTCACAAAGTTTTGATATAAATATATATATATATATATATATATATATATATATATATATATATATATATATATATATATATATATATATATATATATATATATATATATATATATATATATATATATATATATATATATAATATATATATATATATATATATATATATATATATATTTATATATATAAATATATATATATATATATATATATATATATATATATATATATATATATATATATATATATATATATATATATATATATGCATTTATATTTACAAAATCATGCATGCAGACTTATATATATATATATTAAAAAAAAAATATAAACATGCAAAACCATTAATGGAAGACATGAAAATGATGAATATATATGAAATCAACATTTACCAACACCTAACTTTTATCTATAAATGTAACAACAGCTTGATTTCAAAAAACTTTAATGATAAATTTACAAAAAATGTAAACAAAAAATAATCTCTTAGAATAAACCAATGGAATATAAATTACCAAGAATTAATAGTAAGTAATCTGAATATGGAATATCATACCGCGGACCAAAACTATGGAACACTTTTCAAAAAACAAAAAATTTAAATACTGTAAAATCATTAAATTCCTTTAAGTTTATAATAAAAAATAAAACTTTTAAATTAGATAAATAATTTTCTAGATTTTTCGAAATGAAAATCGAGTTCCTTTATTCTTAGTTTTTTTACTTGTTAATTGGCTCTTATTTTGATATTTAGCAGAGTTGCCAATATATTTTAATGAATATTGATAAAACTATATGATGTTATTTATTTTTATGATTTAATGGAAATATTTATGCAAGCTTAACCTTTTTATTATATTGGAGATAAATTTACATTAACTTGTAAAGCCCACCTAGGGGCTCTATGAAAAGATTGTGGTGACTTTAGTCATCCGTATCTTCTTTGAGCCCCTGCCTGTTTTTTATAAATTCACTTTTTTTGTATGTAAACGTTTTTTTGTAATTATATTTCTTAATATATAAACAGCAAATATAAATTAAAAAAAAAAAAGAATATATATATATATATATATATATATATATATATATATATATATATATATATATATATATATATATATATATATATATATATATATATATATATATATATATATATATATATATATATATATATATATTATAAAACGATATTTTACTTAAAACGGCTACGACAACGACAACTTATGAAATCATAGTTTCTACGTTCTCGTAGAAACTATGATTTTATAAGTTGTCGTTGTCGTAGGTGTTGTCGTAGTGTGATTTTATAGTTGTTGTTTTTAGGCGTTTTGATTTCGTAAAGTCGGTTATATCTTGGCAATGGCGACGTCAGCTGTGGTTAATGCGAAGTAATGCGGAGGAACTTTCTCTTTAAATACTCTTCCGCAGTGCTTTGTGAAATAAAAAATTAATTTTTATTAAATTACTTAAAATTTAAAGTCCTTGCATAAAGATATTTTTATTACTTATTTATTTAGTACACTAATTATATAAATTATTGTTTGATTAAAATTTAAAAGGATAAATGAAAAAAGCAGTGGCTTACTTGAAAATAAATAAGTTTAGAAAGGTGACATATTGGACCTAATACTTCCAGATCAGCCACTGTTTTTATATTTTTGTCATTATTATTAATAAAATACATAGTTTTAATGACATTAAAGTTATGATTTTTATAAAAATTTTTCGATAAGAAAAACTTTGAAAATGAATTCAATAACGCATATATTTTCAATAGTGCACACTAATAGTACTTTTGCAAACCACATATTTAATGTGGTTAAAGGTTGGAAGTTCACATAGTAAGACTTTTTAAAAGTCATCTCAAAGAAATAAAAAAATAATATAATAAAATATTTTCCAATAAAATGTTTTTAAAATTATTTTTGTGAATCTAAATTTCAATCTAAAGGTACTAAAAGTAGAAATATCCCTTACAGACTATTAGTCTGTAATTTTATCTATACTTTGTTATAACTGTATTGTATTGTTATAATATACTATATTATAATTAGTTACTTTGACAAGAAGGTTATATATAAAAATTTGTTGATTAGATTGTATTTAGCATGAATCCAAAAAGAACAAGAATCACATAAAATGCCTCTTTGATTATTGGCCTCTTTAATAATAATTATATAATAATTATTAAAAAAATATATGATACCAAAAATGATAAAAAGTATAAACTATAATATAATGATATAGTTAAAAACTACTAAATAAAAGTATAAAACTTTTTAATTGCAAATGTTATGAAAATGTTTTGCCACATTTTAGATCAATAGTATGAGCGGTTTATTGTTTCCTTCAGCTGCGCACCTACTTACACAGAAATTTGATACTTTAGGTTTGTTAAAAAAATTTTTTTTTTAGTTTGTTTTAAAAGCCGTTAAATTACAAGATTCAAATTTTTATCATAAGTTATAAATTTAATGTAATATAATAAAATGATATATAATAGTTTAGTACAATTTATTGCAAAAAAGTATATTATAGTATTTTTATTTTATCAGAGTAAGGGTCATAAGTATTTCTCTAGTGATTTTAAAGTATTATCTTAAAACATTTCATCAACACATAAGCCATCCCAAAAACAGAAAATTTATGATATTGCAGATATTTTTATTTGCTTTTAAATTAGCAAAAATATTATTTTTGTTATAAAAATGTTACTTAAAGTTGGAAGATTTCAAAAGAAAAGAAGGATCCAGAGTATTCATTTACTCCAGATCTTTCTGGAATTTTTGAGAATATTTTTGAAGGCAAAAATATTCTGGAGTGTTATGGAAAATACTAGAAACTCTTCAACCTAAAAGAATATATTTTGAAATTTCCTAATCTAGCAAGTTTAGAAAACTTCCATGCTGTGTATAAGGACTTAGTATGTGAGGTTTACATACCAATAAAGGCAGTTCCATTGTATTCAGACATTAGAAAATTTTTTACAAGAATTAAAGTATTGCTAATGGTTTTGAATAACTTTTTCAGATGAGTATAAATTTGATCTAACTTATTGTACAGCAAAGCGTTGTCATAACTATTAAGGATTACTGTGCATTCGACTTAGAGTGCGTAAAAGTAATGTTAGGCACTCTAAGTCGAATGTGCCTAAAAATAAAATTAGGCAAATCAAAAATGGCGTGCACTATTCTAAAATTCTGTCATAAATATTAAAATAATATAAAGTTTTTTGTATCCAAACATATATTATGCATATATTTGTTTAGCTTAATCAAAAGATATACATATTGCGGTCAGACAAAACCATTTGTTGTGTTCAGACATGTATTTATAACAAAACTGAGTACATATACTTGTCCAAAAATGTGTTTTTACAATGTTCAACAGGAAGGTAAACAAAGACATTCATCTTAAGTTACTTAAATAGTTGACAAGGTGTACTTTTGGGAAGTGGTGGATAGTTCTAACAATTTTGGGAGGTGGCAGTATGTAATCAATTTCTTTATAAGAGTACACCGCAATGTCTTCATTTGAAGGATAAGTGAACTCCGCAGAAGAAGAAATGCCATGCTTGTGTAAACATTGCATACACCAACTCAAGAAATTCTGAAATAATCGTTGACTGAGGTCATCACATTGCCAATGTAAAAGACGGAACCTTTTTTCTTTGTTAGTGGATTTAGCTTTACCACTACGTAATCTTCCACCTTGGCGACCAAAGATGAACATAGCAGAGCGTTTTTAGCAAGAGGATATAAATTAGATATAGTGTTAGGCAGCGGTGTAGCCTTTGGTTTTTCCCAGTTGTCCGCAGGGGAACTGAAACAGTTTTTATTTCATATATTATTTTATTTCATATTTTATTTCATATATTATATCATTATTTCATATATCATTTGAGATGTCTGATATGATAATCAGTAGTCTGGTAGTCAGTAGTATTTTTTCTCAGGTGAAACTAATGAAGAAAAAAAATTAAACGTTTGGCTACTAAAATACATCTAACAAGAAACGATTTGTTTAAAATTAAATTAATTAATTAATTTATTGAATTAAAGATGTTTTTTTTTTGTCGCAGTTGATATCTGTATCGTATTGTTTATTTTTGCCAATCTTAACAAAGGTTTCATTACATGAAGCAAAAATAATGAAATCCAAAACTGCAAAGAAACGTTTTATGTATAGAATTATTTTTGATTATTCTCCTCAATCTTTAATCAAATTTAATTTATTTAAATGTTAAAAACATTATGTTTTTAATGTTTTGAATATTTTTTATTTACTAAGTTTAATTTTTTTTCATTATACTAAGTAAAATTTCTACTTGCATTATTAATTTCATTCTAATAATGATTTTTCACCTGTGTACCTTAATAATGTTTTTTATATTGTTAATTTTTATTTGACAAAGTTATTAATGTTATTAATGATTCAAGTGCCTATTTACGTGATTCAAAATGCAACTATAAGGTTTAAAAAATGATATAATAGTGTTTAGAAATAAAAGAAAATGTAATTATAAAACTCATTTTAAATTGAGTGCGACTGTATTTTTAAAAAAACAATACAGTCGCACTTCAAAATATTAAATTGCATGTCAGCTTCTTTTTATTAAGTTTAGTAAATTTGTATAATGAACCAAAATTTTCTTTTAAATAATTGCAAGGGTTAAAATCTTTATAGATCAAAACATTGTTTTGTTAATAAACACCTTTTTATAAATAACAAACTGTCTGGTTGTCCTGCAGGGCTACTGACATGCATTTTTTTTTTAAATTTCAGTCACCCTTGAAGAAAAAGAATCATCTGGTGCCACCAGATGACCATGAGGGTACTCCCCTGTTATGGAGCTTTAAAATCACCTAAAGATGATTTATTTTTTGTTTGAACACACTGCATAGAAGTAGGGTCACTACCTAAACAATTAAAAAGCTGAAATAGTATTATAAATTTTAATTAAATATGACCAATTTTTACTTTCTGTAGGAGTATCAACAATTTCAAATCCACCAATCATTTTGCAAAAGAACCAGAACACTATATGCAAGCATGCATATAGTGTTCTGGCTCTTAGCTGAACAATCAATTGAGACAATACTTTCATGAGTTACCACTACCACTCCACTGTTCAAAAGTTATTTCATCTGCACCATCCACCATTTTCAACCAGCATTCAGAAAACTTCTTATATTGAAGATTACCACAATGTTCACATAAAAGAAACATACGCTCTTTGCTGGATGGATTGGAATGGGATGGCAAACAAAATTTTTAGGATGTATGGCTTGACCAAGTATAGTGGCAAATGAGTTAATTGTAAACTGAAAATTCCCATGTATAGCACACATGCATACATTTTCTGGAATTTCTCTTTGGAACCAGGGGTGTGGAGTCGTAAAAAAAAAAAAAAAACGACTCGAACTCCAGTTGTTGAAATTTTTTGAGTACAACTCCGACTCCGACTCCAGTTATTGAAATTTTTTGAGCACAACTCCGACTCCGGCTCCAACTCCAAAGCAAAATTCTTTGAATTCTTAAAAAAATATTACGCGATAAGTTAAAAATATCTTTTTTGACAAATTTAAGAAACGTTCTTTAAAGTTTAGTATTAACATAAGGTTAATTGAATGTTTTGTACATGCAAGTGTAATACAGGGAAATTTTACTATTGGAGTCGGAGTCTTTTGTTTAGCGACTCCGACTCCGCTAAAAATGTGGCAACTCCAACTCCACAGCCCTGTTTGGAACCTAACATAAAATGGTCTGCTGGAAGTGAATTTTAAAAATTTCACAGACACACCAGCATTGTCATTCTTGAATATTTCAAATGCTTCCTTCAGCGTGAATAGCAAATGATGAGTTTGGCTTTACTGATAGTAACATCTTTGAAGCCAGGTGACTGACATATCATCGCATTAAAATTTATGAATTAGTAAAGCCAAAAGACTGCAGTATAAAAAATGCTTGTTGATCTGTGGATTTACTTTCTGCCTCTCTCTTCCTTTTTTTTTTGCTTCTCGGACCTATTTACGTCGTTCTTCTTATTGATCAGATGTCATGTTTTGTCTCAAGGAGCATACCCAGTAATTTCTTTCACTTTGTAATCTGGATGAGAGTCACAAAATTTTCGAATCTAGATCCCATAACTAAAATAAAATAATATTAAAATATAAATTATGACAAGGACTTAAATGATCAAAATTGGCTCCTTAAGAACATAGTGAAGCAAAAAAATACAATGGCATACTTATATATTGTAAAAATGTTCCTGGGATCGAAATGCAGACAAACAAAACAAAATGCAAAGAAACTTAATACCAATTTAGAAAAAAATGTGTATGAAAGTGCAATAAAAAATTGTTATTAGGATTTATATTCATCAGGTTCTTTCTACCTTGAATGTTTGTCAGCTGGCGTAATTTAAAAGAACAAGAAAAACTAAAGATTCGATGACAAATTTGAAAAAACGGATAAAAGAAAGAGAAGCTTTCGAAATTATGTATTTAAACAAAAAGTTTACATCTTGCAGATTTTCTTGTTGAAATTGAATAAAAATAATATCAACATAGATGTAAATAATATGTATAATCAATATAACAAAAATATTTGTAAACTCTACATTTGTTCTGATTAAACTTCAGAATGCAACATGGTTGATTTTAATACTGGAAACAGCCATGGTTTTATTGTTGATTTTCATTTAGGCCTTTATTGTATGAACATGAAAAATATGATTTTATCGCTTTAATGAATCTAAATTTCTACATATTTCTGAAATTTTTGGATATTTTTGAAATTTTCGGATATTTTTTTCAACTTTATTTTTTCTGGATATCCAAAACATTTTCAATACATGCATGTTGAGGTATATATTTTTTGTAGTATATTTATTTTTTAAGCTTTTTCACTCATCACTCATAGAAAGTTTATGAAAAGTGTCAAAAAAAATAATTAAAAACAACTTAGCTAAAAGCGAAATTAAAGAGAAAATCAAGGTAAACAAATTCCGGATATTTTAATCAAACAATTTTCCAGATTTTTTAAAAATATGACTAGAATGATCTATGTGTTAAATCATCAACTTTAACATATTAGCTTAAGGAGTGTGAGGGTTGAAAAAAAGTCTTGAAAGTCATTTGTAAAAAAGTATAAGCATGTATAAAATTTTATGTCAGTGTATATTAGTAATGTAGCTATATTTCAGAAGTATGAAGTTACAGAGTATATTAATTTTCAAGATTCTCTTATCTATAAAAAAATTTATAATTTAAGATTTGCATTTATAGAAACAAACTATTTATATTGCACTAGTTTAAGGTGTGTAAAATGTTTACAAAATAAAATGTTATGCAATCAAAAACTATTCTCAAAAGATTCAAATGAAAATAAACTGTTCAACCAAAAGTTTGGATTATTTGAGTCATACTTTATTTACTGGCACTAACATCTTAATTAGTTTATGTTGTTTCATAATTAGTAAACTCATAGCAATGCTTGTGTGCTTGAATATCAAAGTAAAATTAAAAATTTGTTTTTTTTATAAATTCAGCTGTTTTTTTACTTTTTTCGCAAGTTACAATTTGTTCACTTTTTTTCTATGTGTATATAAAGATTCATTTGTGTTATCTCGATACAAGTATAAAAAAAAAAAGTAAATTTAAAAAGATTAAAAAATCATTTTTAACAAATTTTTCAGACTTAAAATTTAAGCTTTCCTTAAAAAATAAGAGTTAAAACAGTTTTGTAAACATGAGCTAATTTTATTTGGTCACAATTTTTCAAAGTAAATATTAACTAAATATATTTTTAATATTTTTATTAAAAAAAAATCATTTTACCAGTCAATGTTAAGAGAGTTGATTAATATTTTTTGTCAAGTTCTTTTTGTTTAAGCGCTTACTCTCAGGTACTTAATACGAAGAAGGGGAAGTTTATTAACTTTTGGAAAATACACCCACACTAAGTGTATTAGTTATTTATATTGTAAAAAACTTATTTAAGTTGTAAAAAAATAACTATCTATTGATAAAAATTAAAACTTAGAGTAATCACGCTTTAAAATGTTTAAACTAACTTAAAATGTTTAAACTAATTTAAACTAAATGATCAAAATGAAAACTTTCATAGTAAACACCTATTAAAAACTCACTAAATAAGAATCCAAAAAGTTATTGAGAGTTTGTATTAAAAACTGAGGAACTTGTATATCTGTTGCTATACATTTTTGAGTTGCTTGTCCACATTTCAATCCCAGAATCCTTAATTTTGATTTATTCAATGTTTGTTTGACGAAAGCAAAACGGTAACCTATTTGAAAGTAGAGGGAGTCTAAATAATCTAGCTGTGGAAATATTAGCAAACATACTATCGTGAACAAATCTTTGTGCAATAAGAATTGTTTTATTTTGGATGTTTTGCTTATTATGTTGTAGCAGTTTTTTACAATCTTATTTATTTGTGTTTTTAAAGATAATTCATTGTTGAGTATCACTATACTTTTTGCAAAGTCAACAAATTTAATACATTCCATGTTAACAAAAGTACCTTTAATAATAATATCTTTTTGATTGCTAAGTGGTCTCATAATGAATATTTTTGTTTTTGGTTGGTTAATATATAAGAATGATTCACTTATTCATTTAGATATGCATCAATGATATTTTAAAACTTCATATTTTTTCTATCTATATTAGCAACGTACTATAGTATATTAGCAGCATCGATAAGTAAGGCTGCAGAACTTCTCGTTAAATGCTCTTCTGTGGTACTTTGTGACTAGACTGTTTCATTAAAATTTAAGGAACAGACTTTGCATGAGAAAAATTTTTATTACTTATTTAATAAGTGTACTAGTTATATAAAATATTGTTTGGTTAAAATTTAAAAGAATATATATGAAAAAAGCAGTGACTATTTTGAAAAATAATATGCTTGGATATGTGACATTTAAGGGCTAATACAATTCTAGAGATGATATTTCTAGTTGCATTGATTTAGCTCTACAACTAGAGATGATAGCTCAATTGAGTAACTTTTCTAATTTTGCAATGGATTTTATATATGGTTTCCATAAGACATCAGTAGTAAATAATAATCAAAGAAGATGTAAAAGGGTTGGTAAAAGGGTTGCCATTTGTATATATAGCAATGTTGACAATATTGTGATAGCTGTTTGCAGTGATTTACTGAGTTTTGCTGAAGGTAAGTTTCACAAGCCACTGCAAGCCTCAAGCTATCACAGAAGAGAGACCAGATTTAAGATCTGTTCTAACTGATCGAAAAGGCTTTTTTGTCAAAATAGGAGTATTAAGTTGAGTCATGAACAAATAGAACCAATTAAGATGTAAGTTTGTTAGAAAGATTATAAATATAAATAAGAAACAATACAGGAGCAAGGATAGAACCTTAAGGTACCTCAGAAGTTACTGGAATTGATGAGTGTTAGCCTTTGATGATGATTTTAATATTGCATTTAGAATAAAATGACTTTTTATCTTCCAAATTAAATTTTCCCAGATACACAAAATGAAGCTAGCTTATGGAGAAGACTAGCATGCCAAACTTCATTGAAAGCTTTATATATGTCAAAAGCAATAGTTCTTGCCTTGTCGCCTCCATCTAATGCACAATAGAATCTTTCAGTCACTGCAGTTAATAAATCAGCTGTGGAATGAGAAGATCAAAATCTGTATTTATTGTCAGTGAGGTGTTAGAAATTTGTTGATTTGTTGGTACTCAAAGACCTTGCTAATAGGGAGAAGACTTATTGATAGTTGGTGGGGTCAGAATGTTCTCCAGAGTTTTTAAAGTTTAAAGAGTATTGAAGAGAGTTCTATAGAAAACTTTTGTAAGACTATGAAAGGAATGTTGCTTAGACCATGGAAGAAGGCCGTAGAAGAGTTGAATAAAGATATGACTTAAGAAATCAAATTTGGAGTGATTTGGATGTCTAGCGATGGGTTAACCTGTTTAACTATAATGGAAAAAAGATTACGGTTGTTAGATTCCAGAGTCGAATTAGAGGAAAAGTTCTCAGTACAAGCTAATATTATTGATTTTAGTCTCGATGATGTATTAGTAATGTAGGTTAATCAACTTTGTCCATTAGTTATATGTTGTTTGATGGTTGTTGTTTTTTTTGAAGGCAATGAATGAACATATGTAATCAAGTTGACAAAAAGGTCAAATGACAATTTTGCCAACTTTTAAAACATCAATGTTGCCTAAAATTTTGAAAAACGAATATATCATTTTATTATGAATTCAAATAAAACCTTAGTTTTGCCAATTTTATTTAAATTATTTTGTTTATAATTGATAAAACAATTGTTTTTTCATTGTTATTTTAATGGCTTTATTTACAATTTAAATGAAAGGTTTGTAGTTAGAATTCAAATAAACGTTTGTTTTGTTGCTTTTATTATTGTCAATTTTATTATTATGAATTTAAATAAAACTTTTATTTCAATTTTGGTTCTTTATATTATGGTAGTGTTGTTACCTCAGACAAATATGTCAGATAAGTTATTATTTTACTTTATTTAACTTGTATGAAAATTTTTAATAAATGTTTTTAGATGAAGATCATAAAAATGTCCCCTCATATAACGAGTTGAAAATATTAAAAAAAGAAAATGAATATAATGTTTGTGTCAATGAAGAAAATGTTTATACTGAGGATGAAGACATGAGCTGGGAAAGTGGTAGTTTAACTGAAAATGAGAATATAAAGGCTGTTAAAAAAAAAAAAAAAAAAAGTAAAGAGAAGAAGAAAAAAAGAAAAAAAGAAAGGCAAAAAAAAAAAAAAGATATTTGCAAACCTGATATAACATGGTTAGAAAATACATCTTTAACTATTAAAGATGCTTATAAAAAAGACACTAAAGGTGATATTAAAAATTTCGAGTTTAATGGACTTTATAAATGTAATATTCCTTCTTATCATGAAAAATTAACTTTTTTGTGTGTTGGTTTAGGAAGCAGTTATTTGAAATTTTTTAAGCAACTTAAAAGAAAGAAAAAGAATAAAGATGTTAATATTCGGTATTTCAAAAATCAAAATAAAATAAAGCAAGTAAGCATTTCAACTGAAAATGTTTTTCCTCAACACGTTGAAAGTAAGGAGTTTCTTCCAATGATTTCACTTAATGAATCAACAACAGACAATAATTCAACAAGTTATATTAGTGCTGCATATTTAGAAGAAAATAAAAAATTTTCTCAGTTGCTTTTGGAACAACCTGAAAATGAAAAAGCATGGTTAGACTTTGTTGATTATCAAGATCTTTTATTTTCTTGTGAGGAACCTTTAAGCTCTTCCTGTAAAGTTGTTTTAGAAAAAAAAGCCAGCATTTTGGAAAAGGCTCTTTCTTATAACCCTGTATCAGTTAGACTGATACTTAAGTACATGAATATTGTAAAACAAATATGGACATCTGATAAACTATATACAAAGTGGAAGGATTTGATATTTCAGTTTCCAAATAAAACATTAATATGGAAAGAATACTTGTTATTTACACAATCTGATTTATTATCTAACAAAGTATCTAAAGTTATTTCAGAATATAATCGTTGTTTTCGCATGCTTTTTGGAATTTTAAATGGAACTGTTTTGTCTCATAAAGCAGAAGAAAATATGTTGGAGGGTATAGTAGCAATATATATACAGCTTGTGTCATACCTCTGGCTGGCAGGTATTTAAATTTAAATTGTTTTGATAGTTTTAAAGAATGTTTTATGCATACATTTATACATAAAAGCATGCATACATATATACACACATACATATATGCTTACATATATACATACATATATGCAAACATGCATACATACATACATACATACATACATACATACATACATACATACATACATACATACATACATACATACATACATACATACATACATACATGCATACATACATACATACATACATACATACATACATACATACATACATGCATACATTCATACATACATGCATACATTGATTCATTCATTCATACATACATACATTTACACATACATACATGCTAAAATGCATCTAAACGGTAAGTGATTAAAATTGAAACAGTTTTCCCTTAATAAAAGCATTATAAAGTATGCAAAAATCAATCAAAACATTTGGAAGCTATACATGATCAAAACATGAAAATAGTCATTTTGGAAGTTAGAGCACTTGTCTCCTGACAGAACATTATGTATACATATATTTGGAAGTTAAAACACTTGTCTCCACAGAAAATTATGTGTACATATAATTGCATACAATATATATTTTTATATATACATATATTTGTATACAATATATGTTTATATATATATATATATATATATATATATATATATATATATATATATATATATATATATATATATATATATATATACATATATTTGTATATATATATTTTTATATATATATATATATACATATATTTGTATACCATATGTGTACATATATTTGTAGCAGGTGCTCCTTGGCTATAGTGAAGGCAACTTATCAAAGAGAAGGAAAAATTTCAAATAAAACTATAAATTTAGTTGGAGATAAGCAACAGATAGGCTTGTTTTACCTCACCGTAATTTTCCTAGTGATGGTATCACAATAAAAATACTCAATTTAAGGAACTTGATCTGCAAAGCAACTTTAAAAACTGAGAAACCAAAGAGCATAAGTGTGAAATCATGTTATTTTGAAAAAAAATTTTATAAACATAGTATTTGTAATTATCATAGGAAAATTTTTTCTAAAAATTTGAAGACATCTGATTATATAAATATATCTATCAGAAAACAAATTTTTAAATAAAAGCTAGTCTTCTTCTTGGCAAGTTGCCTTAACAAATTAATTATTTACCTTAGCCTAGAAGCCTCACTAGCTCCAAGATGTGTTCAATAAATTAACCTTTTTAATAGAACTTAAAAAACCTCCTAATGAATAGGTTATGTTGTGTAAAATTAGCAAGTTTATTTAATTATTTTTTCAAGTTATTTAGCTTTAGGCTTTTTTTCAAAGTACATTTAAAAAAAAGTTATATAGTCTATATAGCTTAAAATTTGAACTTTCAATTGGATTAGTTTTTTCTGTTTATTTGTGTGTTTCAAATTTTACTGTTTTCTTTAAAGTGGTAAAAAATAAAAATTAAACTAATAGACACAATGTGCCTTACCCTATATAATTAAGCTCTTAAATATACATATTGCTGTGTATAAATAAATAAAAAAAAAATAACAACAAGAAGGATTATATATATATATATATATATATATATATATATATATATATATATATATATATATATATATATATATATATATATATATATATATATATATAAATATATATATATATATATATATATATATATATATATATATATATATATGTATATATATATATTTAACCAGGAAGTTCACGCCTTCTTCCTTACTGTGACGTGAAACTATGTCCAGAGCTCGTTTCGAACCTGGATCTCCTGCTTATAAAGCAAGCACTATAACCATTGTGCCACGGCCACAAAATATAAGTCATAACCCTAATATATATATATATATATATATATATATATATATATATATATATATACATACATATATATTAGGGTTATGACTTTTTTACTTTAAAAAAAAAAATTAATTTCCTGTGTCATAAATCGATGAACTTTTATTAGAAAACATGGAAACATGTTCAATGCCTCTCAGTTGTAAAAAAAGGTTACCCCGCAATTCAAGTTACATTTTGTCATTTATTTAATCTTATTGCTACTACTACTAACACATGGCTTTCCTGCAAATCATTTAAAACTTGTATAGATTAGAAGTGTTTAGAACATTTTGGAAAATAACAAAATATTTTAGAAGACTTTAGAACGTTCTAGAACAACCTTAAACATTCTGGAGCAGTTTAGAACATTCTAGAAAATTTAAAATATTTTGGAACTTTCTAGAACAATTTAAAACATTCTGGAATATTCTAAAACATTTTAGACTATATATAGCTGCTCATCTAATTTTATAGTTATTACAGAAGCAACACATGGCGTCGTACAAGCCTAGCGATAGTAGCATTCAGAAGAACAAGGATGTCAGGACCAATAATCTGGTAAAATTTGAAGACTCTCATAAAAGAAGAATGGTCGCTTTGAAAGAATATTCACTAGAGGAAAAGTGCAGAATGCCTCTCCAAAAAACAAATTATCGGACGCTACCATTTCCTTGGACCAAAAATCAAAGAAAGAAAGGACTGAATAGCGGAAATTTTCAAAAAAGTCACTAAATTGTGGAAGAATAAACTGAATTTTCCTCATGTATCTAATCAAATTATACAAGCAAAGCTTGAATAAATACTGAAATGTTATGATGAATGTGTCAAGCAGGGAAACTATGAACCCCTTGATGAAATTTTTGATGTTACTAAAGTGGATGGAAGATGGTAATTTTCCGAGAACAAGCGATTGCACTATCTCCTAGTGGAAAGCAAAAGAACAGTGGGATACCTACAGGCCAAGCGGCCAGTAAAGAAATGATCCATCCCTCTAAAAGACAAAAACTTTCTAATAAGTCATCCAACTCATCATCTTACTATCCTGGTTTTAGTGATTCTGATTCTGAGGCTGAGGACAGTGAATATGAAAACAATGAAGTTAACACTGGAAAAAAGAATGGTGTTGTTGTAATATTGCAACGAATGTTTACAGAGAAACACATCAACAAACCTCAGTTTATCAGTTGTCAACACCATGTATTAGATAGAATCCTCTGTTTGGTGATGGATGAAGAACTTGGAAGTAAAACACAATCGCCAAACATTGAATATCCATTTGTATCTCAACTGTTGAAGGAGTATGAACAACTGAAAACACAATTTGATAACGGAACAGAAGTAATTCTGGAAACATCAGGCTGGAGAGATGATATGAAATTTTTGTTTCATCTCACTTGAGTGTTCAAATTTTTGAGGAAAAAGGACAATTTCAATTGATCAGGTTTCAGAAAATACCCAACATCAGCAATGTGAGGTAGAACTTTAGAGCTATACTAGCGATCCTGGCCTTCATTTTAATTCCTTCAACAAGGACAGTTCTGCAGAGAGTTGATTGTTGATTTATCGTATGGCTGGGCAGACCATTGGTTTACAAACCAACAGTACAACGAAAACAACTTTAATAACTTGGCTGAAATACTGAATCCATACAAAAAGGCTTTAAGCTCTTTGAAAAATCACTGGAAGCGAGAGCCATCCATACTACAGATACCCAGAAGTAATCATGCGCAGAGCGCGCAATTAAAATAATGGAGGAAATTTATTCATCATGCCAAATAAAATCGATTCTTTCTGTGCAACAAGTAAGAGCAAGGTCAACGGTCTGAGTCATTGTGGAATTGAAAAATTATTGTAATACATGGCTATGACATTTTAAATACATTTTAATACATAGAAGTACTTATGTCAAAGTCGATTTTTCAATGGCTGGGTGAACTTTTTTGAAAAGATATGCAAATAATAGTTTATTTTGTACTTTTTATGTAAAAGTTCATCAAACTACAGTACAGGAAGATGGGGTTGATAAAAGTTCATAACCCTAATATATATATATATATATATATATATATATATATATATATATATATATATATATATATATATATATATATATATATATATATATATATATATATATATATATATAAAATATAAAATAAGGTCAGCAATAATTTGCTGACCTCAATCTTTTTGAGGTTTACTGTTTATATCAACCTGTTTTTATTGGTTACAACTCTCTTTCAACTCTTTAACTCCAAAAAATATTTTCGGGTTAAAGAGTTAAGAGAGGGTTGTAACCAATATAAGAAGTAGCTTCTTCGAGTGGCCCACTCGGCCTTGAGAACATAAATTCAGTAAAAAATAAAAAAATGAAAACATTTTATAAATATAATAAATTTGTCTTACAGAGTCAATATTTGAAAAGTCTTTTTAGGCGCAAAGTTTGTAAAAAACAAAATAATATTTGACCTAATTTTCTTAACGATCTTTTTCCTTAATAAAATTGACATTCAAAATTTTTTTTAATAAACGTTTTAAATGTTTTTTTGTTCATATACATTCAAAAACAATAAAAGTCGTAAAGATACGATAACTTAAATTTTCATTATTACTGAATTTTTAGACTTTTTATTTTGATGCAAATTATTTTTTGTAAGCATATATTTTTTAAATAAATTAAAATTTACTTGGCTTGTTCTATGTTATGTTTTAAATTATGGTTAATTACAAGCTAAAAAAAAATAACTTTAGTTTATAAAAAATGATTATACAGCAACTGTGGGGCAGTGGTTAGAGTGCATGCTTTAGAAGCCAGAGACCTAGGGTTTAAAGCAAGCTCTGGGCATATTTCGTACCATCGGTAAGGAAAGAGTTTGGAACTTCCTAGTTTAATACTTTTCTGATGTACTCCGCGGCAATACCGTAAGGTCTTCTTGAAACATTCAAAGCAAAAAACTTTTTTATAAGTTTTATAAAAAAAAATTTTTATAAAAATTATTATAAAATATATTATTTAATTAAATGTGTTTTTAAAATCCAAATTCCGCTTTCAGTTAAATTTGGTTTAGAAGTCTAAATTCAATTTTTTTTCGACCTCAAACACTTTCAGGTTGGCAATTAGACAACCCTAATTCCGTTAGTTAA